TGGACCTCCCTCCAGCGTAACTAAGAGCCTTGATTTTCCTAGCTGCTGTATCTACACGCTTAGGGCCTTTCTTCCTAGGAAAGAGCCAAAAGCTGGGAACATTCCTCCTCCCAGGCCAGCTGCCCGAGGAGAAAGAACACTGAATTTTGCAGGCGTTGTGCAGTGCACAACTGGGAGGCCAGAAGTCTTAAAAACACACATAAATTGCTTCATTCAAGTTTACCAGGGGCAGTCTCTCCTCCTCTTAAACGCACAGGTAAATTTTATGGAGAAAAGGTACATATTGGTTATTGTGGTAGTGTCTGAACTACCCCTGTGCTTGCTCAGCTTCAGCAGGGCCCCTTTCCCACCCACCACTCAAGGGCAAGACAGGTGAGAAGTAAACATCCACCCAGGTCGCTGAAAGGAGGAAGGCAGCACTAGGAATGCGGGGTGTCTGCGGAAGGCTGCGTTGGCAGAAGGCCGAGCTCCTGCCTCCCAGGCACCGCGGGGGAACACAGAGCCGGCACGCACAGACCGAGAGACTCAACGGCACCACGGGCTCCCCACGGCCCTCTGAGCAACCGGCCCCAGGCTACCACTCGAGTGACAGGAAGGGACAGACCTCCGCAATGGCCGAGATCACGCAATGGTGAGAAGATCCGCTCACCACCAATTCCGCCCCACTGTAAGAAGAGCTCCAGCAGCAGCATGCAGATGAAGCCCAGCTCGGCTGGTCCTGGACACATAGGGAAGAACAAGGGAACCTCCTGAGACCCTTCGCTACGTGAAGGCTCCGCTTACCATGGCCCAGCAGCGGTTAACATGGTTCTGACGTACCCTGGTGCACAGGCAGGTCTCTCTTACCTTCTGCCTCATTAGACAGTTTCCTCATTTGCTGAGCAAGTTTTGTCTTTTGCCCTTCAGTACAACTGTGCTAGACTTTTCTTTCCATCTTCTTTTTTGATTTAGGGCCCAGAGTGAAGCTCTTAGAAACCCATCCACAAGGAGACAAGGCATGGCAAATGCGCACACTACACATTTTACAGCTGTGTCTGGACTTCCTCAGTACGTTAAAAATTACCTGTTTGATTTAAAATTTCCTAAAAAAAACATTTAGGAAAAGTAACCAGCACATCTGAGGCTCGTCTCTGTGGACCGAGTAAAAAGTAGATGCACAGCCACCTGCATGCCCCAATCCTCCACCACAGAACCGTGCAGTCATAGCAAAACTAATCCAGCAAACTGAGAACCTTCAGAAAGAAAGGGAACACTTGAGAAAAACCTACGGAAACTGAAGGGAAAAAAAAAAAAAAAAAGAGCTTCAGCAGAATGTATTTCACTACCAGGTCATAAGTGAATAGTGATGAAAAAAGCCAGACACTGTCATTATGGTATGGAAAAATCCTCCCTTCACTGCTATGTGCTTGACACTGGGTGAAGAGCATCATCCATCGACCCGGCTGTTCTTAAAACATTTTCTGCATTTCTTCTGCCTGCCCAGCCACCTTGTTGCTACCATACGTAAAGGCACTTTCACCTCTGTACTTGGCCTCCCAGAGCTTGCAGCAGCGCTGAACACGGCAGAGCAACAGCCAGGGGACATCGATGTCATCTCACGCAAGCCAGTGCCTCAAGCATTGACGCTGATACCTGCCAGCTGCTCTGTCAAAGCAAAGCCATCCCACACACACACGTATGGAATAAACACGCTCATCGATTCGCTGTCTTCATGGCAAAGAGACTGTTCTAAGCAGCCGATATTCCCTAGCTTTGAAACATTTGGGCGAATGGCTTCCCTATTCCACGAGCACAAAAATGATTCCCAACTTTTCCGCATTATCGGTAGACCATGGCCAACTCATAGCACGAGGACTTGGTTATTTTTGGCAAACCAGATAATAGCACATTTCAGTAGCCTCTGAAGTGTGATGAGCAATTAGAGAGAATCCAACCCAAAATCTTTCATCCAGATACTTTAAATACAAGAAGCTTCCACAGAACAGAGATCCACAGCATTCACCTTAGCTCTGTCAACTGTGGGGGGCTACCTGAGGTCTGAGGCCTCAGCCTCTGCCTGATCACCTCAAATTGTGACAGCAGCTCTACAAAAGAGAATAAAAAAACCTGTCCCTAGGTCCCCATCGCTGTGCGTAATCAAAGCCCAAGTCAGTTCAATGCAACCAAAACGCAGCCTGCTCTGACCATCTCCAAGTTTAATTTAAAGGGAGGTACCGAAGCAAATTAATGATGTGGAAGTTACGTTGATATTTTATGAGATTTTGGTTGAATCTTCAAAACAGAGAAGGTTTGTCTATTTCCAGTGAATAAAAAGTGAGGGTGGGTTGGGGAAAAAAAGGCCTACAGGAGTCAATTCAGCAGTACTTTCTGTTTGCAGTTACTAGAGGTCAAGATGTGCACGGGAAACATCGCCCTTCCAATCCCTCCTCATTGACCCAACCACCAAATAATCATCTTGGGCTTATGGCATCACAGAGCCTTCTGCCCTCAAAGGCCAGCAAGGGTCAAAAAGAGAAAGGGTAGAGGAGGAAAATGAGGGAGCAGCCAGCAAATATGGCAGAGGAAGTTGCTGAAAGTCACTTCCAAATCCCTTTTAACTGCTCTATGCATAGATTAATCCCATAACGTTAACAGGATCCATGGAAGAGTTTCCACGGAATATTTCCCTGAATTTATTCCTTTAACAGGGGTGTCCCAGAGGAGACCTGACACCTTGCCTTTGCAAGGCAGTTAAAATGCAGGACAAAACACCTTGTAGGAGCGCTGCCACCTTCTCCCACCTGCACCCAGAGCTGCTCTGCCCTTCTAGCGAGTTGTCAAACTAGAAATTAAGCACCCTCGCGCCACAGCCAGGCCGGGGCGGCCGCCAGCCTGAGGGAAGTTACCCTTCACGAGCCAAGAATACCTTATCTCAAAGGATAAGGTGGAGCTTTGCTTTTCCCCCGTTGCAAAATTGGTTATTAAGTAATCTGTTTATGTCACACATACCAGCACTCCTAACAGTGGCATTGCAGCAGGATGTCGTTACCTGTACAGAAAGGAACGTGCAGTGCTTCGAGTGAATGGGAACGGTTCTCCCGTGCCGGAGGTTCACACCGGGGCCATGCCTGTTCCTGCTTTCCCCTGAGAAAGCTGCTGCTTTCTCGCTTTCTTTCCTCTCGCACTCTGCCCTGCTCCGAGGCAGCTCCCTGCTCCTGCTGAGTCACATTTCCGGGCACTTCGGAGTGGCGACACCGAGTGCCAGCAAAGCTGCTCTTCCCAAGGGGCGCACACGGGGGTTATTAATTAAGCCTGCTCACTGATAAGGGAGGAAAAAAGGACAAAAAGAGGCATCCAGAAGCGAATCACTTTCAAATGTCAAGAGCTGAGAGCATTAATAAAATAACAACTTGCAGCGGGCTGGAGGCACCATCTTCGAGGTGCAGGAAGTAATATCCTGACGTGGGTCAAAGCAACACATCTTCCCAGTGGGTAAATGATTTCTATTTACATTACCCTTACCAAGCAAGGGCACATCTCGGCATCCTGCTGACTCCAAAGTCCCATTTTTCCCCTTATTAGAAAGCCAAGTGCTGCCCACACCACCACATAACCAAACCAGTGAGCAACACTGTGTTCCAGAAATGCTGTGTCCTTAAGAATAAGCAGGAATAATTAAATAAAACCAAAGAAGAGAGCCACCACCAAACTCCTGGAGAAGAGTGGAGAGAAGCAGCAAGAAAGACTAACAATTTTATGCAATGTGCCTCGTATGTGGTCCCACATACCATAACTGCAGGTGGCAATGAAACACAAGGCAACAAAACATAAGAACTTTTACTCCTCTCCCAAACGTTGCTTCCGTTCCTGCGTATCAGCTACTCAAGGAACAAGAAGATGCTGACACAAAACCCATTCACCCTGACCCCGCACACAGTGGCCTATTAAGCCCTACACAATGGTTTATTGCGACTAAGCACCACTTACTTCACGCGAGTCGGAAAGAAAACACAGGCTTTTCCACGGAAATCACTTCTTGGCAAACACCTTCACAAATTCCTTTTTTTTTTTTTTCTCATTATTGCTCTACGTTTTCACATCTGTCACCAATGACAACAACAAGGCTGCACATCAACACCTTTCAAAATATTTTCAACTTAAGTCCACAGGTGTTTGCTTACAAATTAAGCAACTAAAATAAAATTATATACCCACCAAAAAGGCAAGGAAAGCACTGTGAGGAGAAATGCTGGCCTCCTCTCCCTTCCTACAGCCCTTTCCTTCTCCTCCTGTACCAGTTTATCAAACACACTGTCAACAGATCCTCATGAAACACAAAAAAGAATTTGATAAAAAATAACCCATACCTATCAAGTTAAGAGTTTTCCATAAACAAAGTTTAAAAGCTGAACTCCTTTAAACTCCTTTTTCCTCTGGGGTTTCGCAATATGGTTAGAGAAAAGAAAAATGTAAAGATTTTTGAAGGAATCTACTCCTTTCCTAAGGGCTGGTCAGTCTCTCTGCTCTGGCAAGAAATTCCTCTTCCCTCCCTCACCCTCCTCCTGAATTAAAAGGCCAATCCAAGGAAAACCCCCCTGGCTGCCCTAGGCCCTCCCCCGGGGGCAGGTAGAGGCTGTGCCGAGGTTTGGGGTTTGCTCCCCGGTGTTTTGCGCTGCGCCGCTGCCGCAGGGACCCGCGAGCGCCGCTCGGCCGAAGGAAAGGCAGAAAGCCCCAACGTTTCCCAGCTGCCACACAAAAGAGGGAGCATTACTTTATGGGAGGTGGAAACCCACGTCAGCCGCATACAACAACCTTCCTCATCTGAAAAAAACGGCTTTCTTCTCATTTAACAGGTCCATTTCATCCTGATTAAACTTACTGGCATTTCAGTCAATTCTAGGATTAATTACTAAGTCAAAACAAACGTGCCCTTTTCCTCTGCTCTCCGACTGTGGCAAATCTGTACTCAAACATAAGCTGTGGCGATTAACCTTCCTCCCCAGCAGCCCGCGGTCTCTTACCTTCCACCTCTTCTTCGTCACATACATGTTTGAGGAAGGAAGCCCCTCTATCCAGCACTGCCTCGTCCTCCATCCTATAGTAATAGAAAAGAAAGAAGGAATGCTCAGACTTCTCCTGCAGGGAGCTGTTGGAGCCGGCCCAGCTCCGGGGCAGGTTGACTTGCAGGCTGCTGCTCATGGTAGTGCGGGCTCGCTCCCCCGGGCTCCTTCCAGCCGCTCCTTCACCAGGCTGCTTTCAAATGGCGTTTGGTATAAGCTGGCCTCACGGAGCTCGAATTCTGACCTTGGGAGGACATCAGGGGCGACAGGTGTGAGCAAGGTAATCCCAGCAAGAAGTCTTTGTCTCTCCCGCTTCCTTTTCCCCTTTTTGTGGCGTTTTGCTCACGCGCAGCGAGCTCCCTGCCCACGCCGAGGCGAGTTTGGGGCTCTCTACGCAAGAGGCAAGAGTCTGTGGAAGCCCCGTTCCTTTCCAAGTCCCTTCGAGGAGAAGGGGGTGGCTGCGGGAGGGCAGCACGCGCCCGCAGCGAGCGCAGACGCTCGCGGCGTCTCAGCATGCAGGGGGAGGCCAGGCGCCCGCCGGCCCCTTAATACCAGCAAAGCACCCTTGGCCGGTGGGAGGCAAGCTGCGTGTCACATGTTGGCCTCACGGAAATCTGACATACGAGGATTATCCGGCGACCAGGCTACAGTAAGTCAGGCCATCACAGCAGAGTCATTTATGTGTGTCACCCTTCCATTCATTCCCTCCTCGGGGGGCTGGTTTTCACCACGGCTTCCTTTCCCCTCTGCTTTTCTCCCCATCAGCTCCTCTTTACAGGAGGGGCTCCTAATTCTGCGCCACAAAGTCCTCCCACACTAGCCAGGACTTGTGCTGCCCCGTTTCACGCTCAAAACAAGCACCCACACGCTTTCCAAGGAGCCATCTGCAAGCTCCCTCGAGACAAGCACGTATAAAAGCGACAAAAGAATAAATTTTAAGTTATATTAAATAACCTACTTACACAGGCCCAGCACACACCTGTTGATCGTTGCTGGAGATGTTGCATAAGCTTTCTCTGCTCAAAGCAAGGACAGCACATCAAAAACCCCTGTACCTCACACTCCGGGTCATCAACAGCCCCCACGGAGGCTCCTGGAGAGACACTCAAGCTCCTCATCAAGGCAGCTGCCAACAGCCCTACCTCACAACCCCATTCCCTGCCAGCAACAAGGGAGAGGCATGGATAGGTAGGTGAAAATTCAAAAATGCACAAACACCCAGAGACCTAAATCTATATATTCCTAAAATGGAATAGCGCCGCCAGCTCCGCTCTTCTGTGCCCGCCAGCCTCACCCTGGGCTCCCCGACACTGCCAGGAGCCGCTCAGCCCACAGGAATGACTCCCAAGTATTTCCCGGAGAAGGAAGAACAAAGCGCGAGAGGCCGCATCCAAAACCACCAAGTTAGCATCCGGAAACACACGGTTTCCATTTGGGTTATCGGACGGCGGTGGGTAGTACCGCAACGCGCTCATCGGGAGCCTCGGCGCCCGCCTGGTTATGAGCCCTTCTCAGGGCTTTCGCCTGTGCGCTACGGTTGTGTACGCACACACATACACGCTTCTTTTTTATTATTCTTTTCTGTTTTGAAAGCAGCACAGTAGCTACTTGCTGTAAATGCAAACGATAACAGCTGGAACACGCGGGCTGGGATCTGCAGCCCCAACACAAACCGCACGCGTGTCTCCGTCACTGCGCAAAGGCTGCCCTTGCCGTTTCCCGCGTCCCGTGCCAAGAGCCGTCGGGCCCTTCAGTGCACGTATAACCCCGTCTGCACGTGCTGCCGCCTCTGCTCAAACCCCTTTCCAGGGCGCTCTCTGCCCACCAGCGTCCACAGCTCCAAGCGCGCTGGAATAAAAGAGCAAGTCACACTAAGGGAGAAAGAGGGAGCAGAGAGGCAGCACAACGAGGCTGGGAACGGGTTTCCACCGCCTGCAAGGAGTAAAACGCTGAAAACGCCCCAGCCCCATCCCCACAGCGAAGCGCCTGCTGCGGCCGTGTCTCTCGGCGCCTGCCTTTAACGGCGGCGCTTTCTGGCTGCAGAGGGTCCGAAACCTGCTTACGACACGTTGCAACGCTGATGCTTTCCCTGAAACGTGCCCAGAGCAGATCCCAAGGAGCTAGGGGGGTTTAGAGGGCCAGGAATAGAGCATGGGTCGCCTTGGCACAGCGCCCCGGCTCTAATCCGCAGGAGTTTAGTGATTAGACTCTGAAGCGCCACCTCCCTTGACTTGGTCTTTTCTGCCCTTCTCAGATTACAGCCGGATTTCTTCAGGCCCGAATCTGCCAAGAAACAGCCTTTGTGAATCTGCACAGGCAAAAAATACCTCAGCCCTGCAGATCAAGCAACACAAAATGGGAGTTGTATAAATTCAAAATACATAGGCAACAATCCTGGAAAACAGCAGAAAATCTTCTGCGGGCCTTCAGGGAGGAAGGGGTGCAGATTTCCTCAGACAGGCTCTGCTGTGAGACAAGGTGTCCTCGCCACCCCACAGAGGAGAGCGCCAGGACAGGAGCACAGGAGGGAGGAACCGGTTTTCGGGCCCCCAACAGAAACCCGCTTTGGCCTAGGGCTGGTGTTGGTTCATCAGCTCCTCGGCGTCAGGTCAAAAGGATAAGATGTTCACATACCTTTTATCTAGGCCCAACACAAAATACTCGGGCGCAAAACCACATGCTGCTCTAGGAAAGGGCCAGTGAGGACACGCAGATCCATGCTGGGCATCTGGAGAAATGCTGCCGCTTGTCAGCGCACTTTTGGCCAAGGTCTCCCACAAACCACCCTACAACTCAAACCCATGCGCACAGACTGCTTTCAGCTGGAGTTGCAGAAAGCTTCTGCCCGACTACTAAAAACAAGACCTGATTTATAATAAAAGAGGTCCCCAACTTTGGGACTGAGAGAAAGCCAAAATCCAGTGGACAGAAGTGAAGGAAAATCATCAGCAGCAATCAGAAAAGATGGAAAGATCCTCCTCTGGCGTGCCCTGAGACGGTGTGGTGGAGACTGCTCATGATAACTTTGGGGCTGAAAGCATTTCCGAACAGCCAACATGAGCCCAGCAAATGTGCTCTACACCCTACAGCAAGCTGCTCTAGTTCAAGACCAACGTATTCATTTATTTAAACGAAACCCACCACGGAACTCGATTCCTCCACTTGGCTACGCTTCAGGCTCAGTCTCAGTTTTGCTCACCATGCTGGACGTTCTCTCCACAGCTCTCCTTGTTACAGCACCCAGCGCTCGCATCACATCTTCAGAGCGGTATAACGGAGCAAGACAATGACGAACCTTAGCTTTATTTGTCCCTGGTCGTTAGCGAGGCCGAAATAACCTGGACCTCACTTGCACGAGCACAGCGAGGCTGTTGTGTGAAAGCTACCACTGACCCAGGCAAGAAAAGCAACCGCTGGCATTTTAGGTGACCAGTTTGCAGTGCGAGACAGGCTCTTTTTTTGCAAGATGAGTAAACGAGATGAGCTGATTAGGCCGGCTCCTGCCAAGAGCCGCCATCTGGAAGCTTCCTGCAGGCACACGAGGATTTTCAAGGGGCACAAAGGCTGCGCTTATTGCCAACACCTGTGCGTCCGTAGCCAAGGCCGAGGCCTCTACAAGCAGGCCGAGCCGGGCAAGAAAAGCCTCTTTTCCTGGCACCAGAGCTAAGGAGATGGGGTGCTGCCACCTCTTGGCTCTGCTGCCTCACGGCACCGCCAGCTGCCCGGGCTCTCCCGCCGCTGGCGTCAGCACCGGCGCTTTTTATAACCGCCTGATTTACGGCCTGGGAAAAGGAAAACTGGTGCTTGGCATAAATCAAGCCGAACGGGCCATGTGGCAACGGCGGCCGTTGCGCGGAGACGCAGCTCGCTCAAGTGAACCAACGCGCAGCGCTGCCGGAGAAACAAGAAACGAGAGTTACGACCTGCTGATAAGCTTTTATGATCGGGCCGATTTCAAACCTGTTTTGCAATCAGGAAGAAACCCCAGCAAACTCTGGACCGAACAAAGGAAGAGGCAAGCCGGTTCTCGGGTGGACATGGCACCGGGAATGTCTCACTGCGTTCCCTCCTCACCATCCCCAGCACAGGCTGCTTGATGCACTCAAAGTAGGCTGCCAAAATTATCTTGGATGCGTTTTCCCCTGTCAGTTCTGAAACTGCACTTATTTACATGCTTTCTCAGCAAAAGGCTGTGCTCACCAGGGGAGGGAGAGGAGAGAAGTCTCTCTTTTCTGCAGAAAAAACCCCTGCACTACAATGCTTTTAAGCCCAAACGTGAACACAGTTCCTTTTACATTAACTCTCAATGGCCAGCAGGAAACTACTGCCCAAAATGAGCACAAGAGGACACAAGCCTCAAAGCAGCATTAGCTGCTTGTTTCTTTTGGGCTGTGCCTCACGGCTTTCGATGCAGACCCCTCTTGTCTATTTGCCTGCGCCGGAGCGGGACGCTTGGGGCTCATTAGCTGTGAGTGCCGCAGCAAAGAGCGGAGGGAGTGAAGAGCGAGGAACTCTGCAAACTTATCAGCTTACCAGCAAGCTCGCACTGCGGATTGCTCATCTCTTCCCAGCGCCTGCGAAACTTCGCAATTTGCTGCCGTTCTTCCAGCACGGCCTTTACACACCACTGCCAGGCTTCCCGCCTTGCCCCCCTACTCTTTCACACCCTTTTTTTTGTCACCTTCTCACACAGCACATTCCAGAGAATAAATCTGTTGCACTCTCAGAGCAGCCACTCGTCAGGCATTGTCGCCCCAGCGGTACCCGGGGTGATGGTTTGCACAGGTACCCACCTGCCCTCGCTGCTGCCCACTCCTACTGGCCTGTTTTCCCTGCCAGGCTCTGCTGTGGTCTTGTCAGCTGCTTATCGTAATGGGGTATCAGCAGCAGCTTAAGTGTATTTGATTCCACCCAAGCCCCATCGTAGCATTTAAATACGAGCCTCAGTTTTTGACTGCACCAGGTCCTTAAAACGCTCGTACCGACTGGAATGGCAGAAACTCCAAAGGTTTATCCCAACTCGCAGGTGAAGCCAGAGCGCCTTCCTAAAACCAAGAGGAGT